GATGCTCATGCTCGCCTACCGGAGTCAGGTGCACGACAGCACGGGATACTCTCCGTTCGCCTTGATGTTTGGGCGAGAGCCCCGCCTGCCGGCGGAAGCCTCGCTGGGTGATCGGCCGGTTGTGGATCGGGCCCCAACCTTCCCCCAGTACATAGACGATTTGAGAGAGACACTCCGACTTACTTTTAAGGATGTGGTTAAGCGCGATCAGCTGTCCCATGACCGCAACAAAGCTTTGTATGAGCGCAGAATGAACGAGTGGTCGTATCGCCCGGGTGACAAAGTGTTCTTGTTTCGCAATGTACCGAAGCGCGGTGAATATCATAAGTTTGTGAGGCCTTGGCGTGCGGCTGAGATCATAGAACAATGTGGACCAGTGAACTATCGAGTGCGCGAGGAGGGAAAGCGGCGCAGTCTGGTGGTGCACCACAACCGCTTGAAGCCGGACAACACAGTGGAGCGCCCGCCGGCTGTGAGTGAGGGGCACAGGACCGCGACAAGAGCGCATGGGTTGTCTCTCTGGCGAGATGTGCCGGGAACGCCCATTGCCCGGCCCCATAGTGTGCCTGGTATGGGTGGGGCGCCAATTGTATTTCCGCCCCAAGGTGTCACAGCTGGCCGCTATGTACCGCAACCTGTTGTTTTGCCGCACGTGCCGATGCCGCGTCTGCCCGAGATGCGACCTGACTGTGTGCCGCCACCTGACCCTGTACCGCTCCATGACGCTGTGCCGCACCGGCCGGAGGTACCACATGTTCCGCCGCCGTCCCCGCCGCCGCCGTTCGATGCCGAGCCGCCGCGGGATGTGGATCAGCGGCCGCGAACTGTCACCCGTTTCGGGCGTGAGGTACGCCCCCCGAAACGGTTCGACCCTGCTCACTGGTCTTTTGATTAAGCGTTTGTTGTGACTGTCGTTGGCATATTGTTCAATAGGAGGGGAGGAGTGTAAGTAGGTATAATATTATTTAGTGGCCGAGAGCCGTGAAGGATGCACGGCTAAATCGTGTTCCCGGCTGTGGCGGGAAGCGGTCGCGCGTCGGCGCGCGAGCAGAGCAGAGCAGAGCGCTGGGCAGAGGGTGTGTGTGTGGAGCGCGGCCGGAGGCGCGGCTGGTTGTGTGTTGTGTGTTCGGTCAAGCTGAGAACACAGGAATACAGAGACATGCAGTAAGACCGGAGGCTGTATCTGAAGACTGAGGTGTCTTACATATACGAATAATAATTTATTATGGATGTGCGTATATTCAGCTTGGAATTGCAATTAAAGTTCCGCACCGCATAGATTCGAACTCGGGACCTTTGGAATACTGCGCGGGCACGCTAACCACTACACTACCGCGACCGCGCGGCGGCCGGCGGCAGGGAGGCTGCGGAGACATGGGGGGACATTTTACGCTTTTGTGAAAAAAGCAAAAGATTTAGCGAAAAACACGTAATAGATAACTTGCAGAAAATTGTCTGCTCTTTTAGGTAAGATACTTAAGTTTGATATATCTTGTGCAGACTTCATTCTACAGTGCTTCGAAAATCGCTCATTTACATGGGGATTGAACGGGGCTTCGAGACTTGACTCCAAATGACGTCACGAGCTGACGTCACGGAAAGGTAGAATCGCCGGACGACCCTACCTGGTATATAGGGCCTTGGGCCAAGAGCTCGGCCAGAAGTCCCGGAGAGCGCGCGGCCCGACGCAGCGGGCCGGGCCCAGACATGCGCAGAAGCACTCGGACACCACGTGGCTGCCGATCGGAGCGCGGATTGGTCACTGGCCGACGCACTGCGGCAGCGCAGGCCGCAGCCACGCGGTCGCATCGTGATGGGACAAAGTTCACGAACAGACACGTCCTGGGCCGCCTCCCCAGCGCCGGGGCGGGGTAGCGACGTCACAAGTCGGCGCGCGAATCGGTCTGCGCCAGGAACTCCCGTGCCGGCCGGCGACACACGTGGTTACCACAGTAGCTCCCATTGGCTGCCATATATTGTGACAGAAATGGCGCACCATTTTCGAGATGGGTGCAGATGGGGGAAGGGGATGGGGGAGGGTAGAGGCCGAGAAGTTAAAAATATTCTTTGAATTACAGAGATAAAATACCACGCTTTTACATTTTTATGTCAAATAATGCTGCAATTTTATTTTAATGAAAGACACATCGGTTCGCTGACTTAAATCAGGGATCGAATCTCAAGATATCGTGCCGTAATAAATACTTTCATCTCAACAAATGGATAGAAAATGATATAAATTATCCTAAAAATGCATTTAAGCTTCATGCTGCATGATAACGTTCCTTTTCCTCTTCAGCTCCAACACGCAGACATTCAAACCGACGGGCCCGTCACCGTCAAAAGTTGAACATTGCTGAACTTTCCAAAGCGACCGCCGTCAGGTCCGGCGCCGGCGCAGTCAGCTGTTTGCCGGCCGTCAAACGCTGCCGGTTCACACATGCCCGTCGACCTGACGGCCGTCGCTCCGTCGGTTTCGGCCGTTTTGACGGTGTCGGATGGCCTTGCCGTCACCGGCAGACCTTACGGGCAAGTGTGAACTGCGTTTAAAGGGACCCTCCCACCTTAACATTAGTTTTGAGTTGAGATATACCGGGGTTACATGAGCGATCCGTTCCAAATACGCACTACGCTAATGCGCATCAGCTCCCCACAAACGGATCTACGGCACCGGTTACATGAGACTAATTCGTTTTATCTACGTCAAACGGATCTTGTTTGGCTCACCCGGGCTGACTCCTCGACGGCCGGTAATTCGCATCACAAACGGAATAGGATTAGCGTACAGTCATGGCGCAGTTGCGGCATTTACCGGGACGACTGAGCTAAATTTTAAATACTTATATCAGTTGATAGGCTCAAAAACATTTAAAATTAACATGAAATCAAAAAATGAAAACAAAGTTTTCTTGTTTTAAGTCAGTGGGCACTGATTCGCCATGCAGCGACAGCAGGGTGGTCAGAAAAAATTATCTATCAAAATATTTCATTCATTTTATTTCACATGCAACCAAAATACCAACATTTTTTTGCTATTTTCTACGAGGCAGCCAATAAAAAAAATTGTAAAGTATTTTGCATTTTGACGCTTCCAGTCAGCAAAGAATAGTTCTTGTGAAATACGGCCCGAATCGTGTGCCTCGGACGTTTCGGTTACATGAGCGATCCGTTCCAAATACGCACTACGCTAATTCGCATCAGCTCCCCAAGAACGCATTCAGTGCACCGACTACATGAGCAAATTCGTATCAGTGACGTCAAACGGATCTAGTTTGGCTCTCGGCCCGATGCGCATTACAAACGGAATAGCATACAAATGTGGCGCACTTCCGTAACAATAGAGGTGACTAAATTAAAAATTTATTATCTTACGTCTTTTTTGCATTTAATCTGCTCAAAACATTCTCAATTAACTTAACAAAAAAAAGTTGAACATAAAGTTGTCTTGCTTTGACTCATTGGGCAATTGCCTCTCTTGATTCGTCTGTAGTGCTGTCAGAAAAATGTTTCAACTGAAATTATGTGGATATTTACTATTTGGTTTTCACTATATTTAGTGTTGAAAACTTGGCAAAATACCGACATATTTTTTTAAATATTATTTCAAAAGAAGAAAATGAAAAAAATATCTATTATTTTGCATTTTAATGTTTCTTTTTGCGAAGAAATAGTTCCTGTAATACGTATCTTGGTCCTATTCGCTTCTAAGCCTCTTTCTCAGCGGATTTTGTTCGGACCGCCGATTCGTATTAGCAGGTGGATACATGAGTCGGTAGTACGCTCCTGATTCGCATTAGCGGTGAATCCGATCGTGATACGTATTTGCTTTGCTCATGTAACCGCGGATCGGATCGCCGATTCGTACTAGCAGGTGGCTACATGAGTCGGTAATGCGTTCCTAATTCGAATTAGCGGCTAAATACGTATTTACTGTGCTCATGTAACCCCGATAACAGCCAAGTTTGCGGCCAGGCTCAGAAACCACCATTTATCCTGGCCGCAACCCCCGCAGCTTTATGGTGTTCAAGAAATTTCTTCCCTTTACTTGCAGGGTGGGACCAGCGTGGTCCCTATCTCTTAACCATTACGGGAATCTGATGACGTCATCAGGCTTTCGAACGTCCGTTAAATGTTTGACTAAAACGTTTTGTAGCACGCGGTGGTATATGCTGCTTTGCGCGCAACAAATGCCGCACTTTCAAATAAAGTCGCTAGGAACAGCGGAGATCCCAAAAAGTAAACAAAAGTAAAAGTCTAATATCTTGAAAACCGGTGAATATTTTTCGATGAAATTTGGTAGATATTCGTTTTTGCTCTTTCTAAACCGAGCGACATCACTTTCATGCCAATTCATTAACTTTTTTGAAGGTGGGAGGGTCCCTTTAAGCCCTTTCCGGGTAATGGGCATGTGCGCCGAAAATGTATCAGCGTCAGTGGTCAATGCTCGTGTTGATATTCCGTGCAAATTCCGTGTTGATCACGGAGTTCTTTACTCAGAGGGGTGTTCACGGGCACCGCACACTGCTGCGTGCGGTGTGTGCGGTACGTCCAGCAGGCGTGGGGGTAGGGGATGGGTAGGCGGTTCTGACGTCACGGCTGCGTGCGGTGGACGGTCCGCTGTGGCCAGTCCCGACCGGCCACAGCGATCGCTGTGTGCGGTGACGGAAGGCTGACGTAGGGACGCCGTGGGCGGAGCTTCGAGGCTGTGTGCGGTCCGACCGCACACAGGGTCCGTGAACAGCCCTCAGGTGTTCACGGGCACCGCACACTGCTGCGTGCGGTGTGTGCGGTACGTCCAGCAGGCGTGGGGGTAGGGGATGGGTAGGCGGCTCTGACGTCACGGCTGCGTGCGGTGGACGGTCCGCTGTGGCCACTGTCCCGACCGGCCACAGCGGTCGCTGTGTGCGGTGACGCAAGGCTGACGTAGGGACGCAGTGGGCGGAGCTTGGAGGCTGTGTGCGGTCCGACCGCACCGTGAACAGCCGGTGTTCTATATACTCTGGTTCTTTATATTGATATGCTGTGGTGTTTGTTATAGGTATCTTGGGTGTTGATCTCGTGTTTTGCACGGTGACATCATAATTGAAATTCATTTTCAAACCTACATCGTCTTGATACGGCCCTGGAATCTGGATCGGTGGGATATTGGATACAAATTGTGATCTTCTTAGGTCAAGGTAGGCTAATATAATAGCAGGTGCCTATCTATCTAAAGAAATGTGTGTCAGCTAGTCAGTGTGTGTGTTTTGAATGTGACAAAAGTAGGTACTAAGTAGCATGCATGACCCGAGGGCTGTTCACGGGTCCTGTGTGCGGTCGGACCGTACACAGCCTCCAAGCTCCGCCCACTGCGTCCAGCGTCCCTACGTCAGCCGGTATATGTCAAGTTTAGGTCCTAACTACAATTGTGGCGCTTTTGATACGAATATGAAACAGCGAAAATTTTAGGTTTTAGGTTAGGTTAGGTTGTAGGTTTGTAGGTTTTAGGTTGTAGGTAGGTAGGTTTGTAGGTTAGGTTAGGTTAGGGTAGGTTTGTAGGTTGTAGGTTGGTAGGTTATAGGTAAGTAGGTAAGGTTAGGTCAGGTTTGATTATGTTTTTTTCTTTTATTTGCGAGATATATGAGTATCATTTTTGGATTCAGGATGTCAAATAATGTCAAAATATGAAAAATTTATCAATGTAATCTTCTTAGGACTTAAACTTGACATTTACCACGTCAGCCTACCGTCACTGCACACAGCAGCCAGTCGGGACTGGCCACAGCGGACCGTCCACCGCATGCAGCCGTGATGTCAGAACCGCCTACCCATCCCCTACCCCCATGCCTGCTGCACACACCGCACACACCGTACGCAGCAGTGTGCGGTGCCCTGAACACCCCTCTGGCCGTGCTCTGTGGTGTACATTACAATAAGCAGGCTTTTTTAACCTTCAGATGGCAGGGTTCACAAGGACAGAGCCCCTTCTAAGCAGAGCTTGTTGCATGCACCCTGCCCTTTATCCTCTGATCAGGGGCATAGCCAGGATTTCCTCAAATGGGCCAAACTTACAGGGGCCAAAGGTAACCCCCTTAAAAATCAAAAGACATCAGATTTCATTCCCTATTTTTTTCGAAGGGGCCCAAATAAATAGGAAAATGTTTATTTTTAAAAAATGTTAGAACTGGGGGGCCAAGCAGTCCATGGGCACCTGCCAGATAGGCCCACGAATAGTTTCATAAGTCGCTCAGCCGGTTCTGAGGGTGGTCTGAGGCCAGACTGGAAAAATACAAGTTATGCCAAATATGTCTGGCGTAGTAGCGGGATTGCGCCGAAAATTTCAGCGCACGTTCAGCGTAACTTCGCATGCCCCGAATTCAGCGCATGGCGCGGACTAATTTTTCGGCGCAGGGTGGTCGCATAATTTTTTGGTGAAAGATGGTCCCCAAATGTATGTGGTATGCTGGTCAATCTAGCAGCAGATTCGCCCCGCGGGCGGCTCTGGAGAGGTTTCGGGACGAGACGTCCCCGCCCCGGTCGTCGCGTACTCGAGTCTCGCACTGGCGAGCCGCCCTGAGTGTACTCAGCGCAAGGCCATATAACCACTCAGCGGTGGAGCAGCCGCCCAGGTGAGGCCTCAATCCTCGGCGTGGAGATAGGTATGGAAGACCTTGTTGAACATCGCCAAGTGTCGTTAAGCAATACTGCAGTGGGTTCCAGACCTGCCCACTGCGGTGTCGAGGGGAATGAGAGCGCGGACGACCTGGCAAAACCGGCGGCCGCCCTGCCCTCAAACGCCCGCTCACTGATCACGGCGGCGACCAGGGGCCCGCGGCCGCAAGCGACCAGTCACCATAGGCCCCCTAGGCGACCAGAGACTCCAGGAAACCAGGGGCCCTCGGATGACTGCAGGGGCCCATTGGGTCATCAGGGGCACCTCGGGCAACCAGGGGCACAGAAATGAAACTTTGATATCAATTTTCTTTCGAGTAAAAGGCGTTTTAGGTATCCAGTGTTTGAAAAATATCCCGGGGCCTGAGGGGGCCCCCATCGCGCCTTCAGCGCTCAAGGGAGACCATTGCCCCCATGCCCCCCCCCTTGGCTACGCCTCTGATGGCCTTAGCTTCGACAAAACATGATGTGAAAAGGTCAACGGGCATGATGTTGTCAAGTAAGCAGATATAGGGCCTGCTTTTGGACCATGCGGTGTTAACTCCGACTTCGGAGTCGGAGTCGGTAGGATTTTGGCGACTCCGACTCCGGGCAGAACTTCGACTCCGACTCCGACTCGGCAGCCCTGGTCTGTGGAGTGTGATGTCATTCACAACAAACGCTATTTATTTAGTAGGTACTTAGTGAGGCTCCTGGGCCCACAGCCACTCATTCTTCCATTCGGTCAAAATTTGTATACCTATCTAAGATAAAAAGCTGCTGCTGGCAGCAGACAGCAACAGACCAAATAGTGTTTTGCCAGCAACCAATTAAATGCGACTTGCGAGCGTCATCGTCAGTGCATTATGAGTGTTTGAATTTCAACATATTCAGAAGTGTTTCCAAAATTCGTTTTTATTGGTAGCGATTTGCAGGTAACCAAGGACCACGTAGCAGTTTTGCAATTTAGAAAAGGTGTGTAGGGGTGGTCGGTGGATTCTGTTGTCATTTCTATTGAATTGTAGCCAGCGAGTGGCCATAAACGGACAACTATCTAAGTGGAGGTAGGTAGCAACTGGAGTACCCCAGGGCTCTGTCTTGGGTCCGCTTCTTTTTTTGTTTTTCGTTACCAATCTGCCTGACATGGTTCGATCGTCCATAAAGTTGTTTGTAGACTGGTTAAACTGGCTGCGGCTGCTTCCACCTTTCCGGAGTGGCTCGAACCCATTGCCGGGCTCCCACTGTTGGGGGTCCAACGCTCTACCAACTGAATTGCGGGATGGAGCCGTCATTTGCTGAATAGAAAGATAGGAATGTTTCCCTGAGCCATTACAAACAACTACATCGTCATATCACGCCAAGTTTTGCTATCTTTTTTTTTTGCATCCCCAAACAGTTATTAATATCCCAGAAACTTTCTATGCACAATCAAATACCTGGCTTCTTACCATTGAGTGCAGTGGTTTTGAAGTTGTGCTGCAGCCGTGAGCTCCTCAGCTGTACTGGGCCTCGCGCTGGGCCTCGCACCGAGCTACTGTAATCATGGGCCGGGCGCCGAGGTTTATATACGCAAGGCGCCCGGGGCGCGCCTCGGCCGACCAATGCGTGACGGGTGAATCAATCGGGGATCACCGTGTTGCAGGGAATCATGTCTGGCGGCGGAGGGTTAGAAGAGATTGGTATTCCCGGAAAGGAATACCTCCGGAAGGCGCTCACAAGCTGTTCGGATCCGCTAAAAGCCATCAGTGACTTTCAGGTAAGTGCAACAGGGCACAGCATGTAACTTGTAACTACCCATCTGTGTCGAGTTTTTGCGTAAGAAGTATGTATTGTATTTCTCGTGATCTTCCAGGTACGCCGTACAACTGAACTACTTCTAGTCTAGGTCAATAAGTGTGAATGAACTGTGAACAAGTCTATTTGTGCATCATTTAACCATAAAGGTGTAACTACCATGCTACAGTCTTTCTTCACTAATGCGCGTGTCCATGCCATGTCAGCTTCTTTTCCACCGGCGATAAGTTACCTAACCGTTTGGAGTCGAGCGGTTATGAGAACAAGACAATTATTTTCTATTGGTTACTGACCAGTAGCAGATGTGTGACTGTGTTCTGCTAAGTTCCTCCCCCATTTGGTCTATGCAGGCAGAGAATGGCATTCTTCTTCCATCGTTGAGACCTATGCTCCCTCTGCTGGATCTCCATGGCGTCAAACGGTTCGAATTTCACACGTCTGTGATGGAGGTATGCAGTGCACTTGCGTCACAAACTGAGCAATTTGCATCATTCTTCATATTTGCTGTTGTCGAAAAACAACACTGAGTCGTCATTAGGCTATGCTAGATTCCGGTTATTCCCTTATCTTTGTTTGCGGATTCTTTGTTTTTCAAATCTTGCTAGATTCATTGTTTGGGTTTCCCAGATTGTGATTCCCTAAAGTTGTTCAAGCGAGCAGGCCCGTCTAGATGTTTGTTTACTGTTGCCTTTGGTAAATTACTCTTTCGTCAGTCGTCACGCTTGCCAATGATTCAGTTTTATATGGATGTGTCACAAAGTCGTTACATTTACGGCAGGCATGCAAGTCGTTACGGTAGGCACACATGTAGTCGTTAGGTAGGTACATATACATTAATGCAAGATCATTTATTATAACGTTATTGTTTTTCCAGAGCCTTTGCGATAAGCTGATCCAGCAGATAAACGACATCGGTAAGCTGGAGGGTCGTGAGCGGGACAGAAAGCTGCGCGACCTGCTGCACAAGTCGTTCCCGGTGATTCGTTTCAAGACGCTGCGTCCGATCGTCATGGCCATCCTCAAACACACGCGGGAGGTGGATCACAAGTTTCTGAAAGTGCTGGTGAGTGTTTACTGCCCAGGGCTGGGCCGCTGGGCGCTCGGGCTGAGGAGTAGTGAGTATCCGCCGTGTACTCAAGTTGACCCAGCGGCTAGCAGTCTCCAGAAGCTCCTGGATATATATTGTGCAGTGTCCACTGGAGATGAATCGCAAGTTCTTGAAACTTGCCGTTAGTATTATCCAGTAGGTACAAGATTTCCATGTTTTGGGGGCACTTAAATCACATGTTGTTGCTTGTTGGCGTAACCTGTTGTGCCTATTTGATCAGTTCCAGTGTCCTATTATGCGACTGACTGATGCATTGCTTCCCGGTGACTGGTGCTGGACGCTCTGTTTCGGGGGGCTGGCGGGAGCACCATGCTGCCTGTCTCAGGACCCTGACGATGTGACCCTCCCCCCCCCCCCGCCGTGTTCAGGTACGTGACAAGGAGCTCTACAATGACCTGGACACGGAGGTGAAGCGTCAGATCTGGACCGACCACCAGACCCTGTTTGGTGACGAGGTTTCCCCGCTGTTCATCCGCTACGTGCAGCAGAAGGAGGCGGCGCTGCTTACTCACACCAACCTGAACAACTTCTTCGACCTCACGCCAAAGGTGGGACGATCGGGGACATGGTGTTTAAACAATTATTTGAACTCTGCAATTGAAGTTTGATCGAAAATGGTCTCCCTTAGCTCAGGCTTACGACGCAGAGTTCTTGTATGTAAAATAAAGAAACAATTTCAGTCTAATACACTGGCTGTTCTTACCTTGAATTCACTCAATGATTTGATAAATCCGAAATGATATGCTAATGAATATACCTTTGTACAGATATAATTGTTTTAGGATTGCTACTTGAATGCCCTAAAAAGTTTAAATAAAGTATATGTTTCACCTCGTAAGGTGCATGCTGCACGGGAAAGGCCTACTTCGTGAGCAGTTCATGCTAAGGCTTCAAATGGCTATATCGACATGCAAACATTTGGTTTGCATCGAGTCATGCTATGACGAAGTGACACGAACTGCGCTGAACCGGAATCGGCGCGCTATTGTAGCCAGAGAAATGTTTGTAGTTTGCGTTTGAACGATGTGTGATTTTCAACTGGTTTCCTATAATTGTACACAGTTGTGTAGTGTACAGCCCACCGCTAAAGTAATGTGTGGTTTTACTTATCTCAACGGATGGCTTTGACCGACGATTTTTAAATGCGGACTGATTGAAAAGAAGACGTAAATAGATAAAGTTGTAGCTGCAAGGGTGAAGATACATGTAAGCTACATTTAAAGTCTCGTTGCAGTCTGGCTAATCGTTCCTAGGCTTCAGAAGCAGAACATACCCATGACTGAAACTGTATGTACTGTATGTATGTACTTTTGTCACGCAGACTGGATTGTATGTAAGGGGTGACGAGCGTTAGTTTTGCTTATGGTCCCTCGACTTCCACGCTCTATGTTGATCAGACTTTGGTCAGGGTGCTGTGGCCCAGAAGCCGATGGCATTTCCTCTTTTATCAGGCAGGCAGTCTCTCAGCACTGGCATTTCCTTAACCCTATCAGCCAGTGATACGTATATGGAGGCTGTTGAGGACGGCTCGAGCATCATTCATTCTCATTGATTCATTCATTCAATCATGTTTCATTTAGATGCGCACGTCCATCAGAGGACTGCAATGCCAGATTCATGCGCCTCTGCGCGAGGATCAATAAAATCAAGATCAGTGTGACAAAGTGATCATGTAAAAGAAGAGAGAGAAAATTATTGTTCATGGTGGATTTTAGTGTTTTGTAAGATGTCGATTTTTACAATAAACTAATATGATATCGCCATAGAACTAACTCTCCCTGTACAGTACGTACACTGTTGCAGTACGCAACATTGATGAACAATAATTTTGCGTAATTTGCATAATAATTTGGCGATAATCTTTGCCTTGCTACGGTGTTGCAGTTCGCAATGCCTTCAATAGAGGTAAGATTTTAATTGAGTATTAGCTAAACCAACGGAAACAGTTTTAATTAACGTAAAGTTGATGTAGTAAAAGTGAGTTGCATCATCCGATTGACATGGATACTTCAAGGAGGCCGGTTCCGGCACCAAGACGATCGTTGAGCGCAAGACCGACGCCGACGCCTATGCCGAGATCTAGCAGCTGGCTCACGGTGTCAGCTGCAGATTCGTCATCGTCTCTTCGTAGAAGCTATGAAGAAGAGGAGAAACGACTCGAGCTCCTAGTACAGGAAAGTCAGCTCTCTCTTAAGCGACTACGGGAGAAGAAGGCCGCGGAATTTGTACATGACATCAATGACAATCATGATTTGTCGATCGCTGGTCCAGATCTATCCCAAATAGAGGACGATGCAAGAAGTTCTCGCCATACACCGTATGAACGAATGGAATATGGTGACAATGCAAGTTTGCGAATGGGCTCCGGCACCCAGTGCATCTTTCTCAAGGAGACGCCGAAACTCGCATTTACTGTGTTCAGTGGACAGCCGGAAAGGTATCCCTTTTTCCAGCGCCAAGTTGAAGAGGCGAGGAGCAGTGGAAACTTCACGGATCTTCAGATTCTACAGCATCTCCAGGACAAGCTGAAAGGCCCTGCCTTCGATGCCGTTCATGGCACACTCCTCTCAGGCGGCTCCCTGAATGACGTTCTCGAGACGCTGGAGGTCAGATTTGGTAACCGGTTCATCATAACCCAGTCAGTGACGGAGAAGCTCCTGAGCGGACCGAAAATTCGGAACGGAGACGTGGAAAGTCTGAGTGTGTTTTGCAGCGAAGTCCACAACACTATGTCTGTGCTGCAGGCCATTGGATACCAGGCAGAACTGGATAATTATCGGGCCATATCGTCACTGGCCGAGAAGCTCCCACCGGAGAGTCAGCTCGCCTGGGGTGGCTATGCCAGGGCAAGAATAGAATCCGGGAGCCAGCTGACCTGCCAAATCTTCTATGATTTCCTCTGCAGTCACGTGAGGGACCGGCAGTTCAGTGTTCCCAGAACCAGCAGTGGCGCTACAAAAACCAAACGTCATCCGATATTCGCCACGTCTGATTCCGCAGAGAAGGTGCACCGAGAAGCCGGTCGGGGAAAACCAAAGGCGCGGAAGGTAGAATGCTACTTCTGCTCTGAAGACCACTGGATCGCAAGTTGTGACCAGTTTAAGCAACTCTCTGTAGCTGACAGGCGTGCCTGGGTGAAAAGGACGAAAGCTTGCGTTTGGTGCCTCAGTACGGGTCACCAGACATCAGCGTGCCGTCGCCAGCGGCCATGCGGCAAGGCTGGTTGCTCAGAGGAGCACCATGTTCTCCTTCATGATGACGTCACAAGACCGGACACCAGCGGAGTTATGTCAGCAGCCTCGCAGCCGTGCCTCGTGCTGATGAAAACTGTGCCGGTCGAACTGAGCGGGCCGGCTGGTAAGAAGCTCTGTCTCGCTTACTTGGACGAAGGGAGCTCTCTTACGCTGATCTCCCAGAAGGTGGCTGAAGAACTTGGACTGCACCAGCGTCCACGCAATCTCACGATGAAGACTTTGACGGGCGTCACGAAGCTTAAGTCGTCACTCATTGACGTGAATATCTCGAACGTAACGACGGGAGATACCTACTCGCTGACAGACGTCTACACGATGACGTCGTTACCTCTCGAAAAGGAAGCGCTCGGAACGACAAAACTTCGAGAGAGGTACGCTGAAGTGAAGGATCTTCCACACGTTGGCGAAGAACCACAGCTCCTAATCGGGATCGACCACGCGGAGCTGATTGCTTCACAGTCACTTCGGCGTCCTTCCAAGAACGGTCCTATTCTGCAGAAGACTAGGCTGGGATGGACACTCACAGGGCGCGTGCTAGAGACCGAAGACTCCAGAGCCGTGTGGCAGGTTCATCGGATCGCTCAGGAGAGTCCTTCCCTGGAGAGCTTGGTCAAAGCTAACTGGGAGACGGAAGCATTCGGCTGCAAGTATCAGTACGATACCCCTCGCAGCCCAGAGGATCGAAAATCTGAAGAGATTCTCAAATCCCAAGTCTACCACAACGGGGAGCGTTGGGTAGCACCCCTGCTGAGAAGGGATCGAGGTGAAAAGTTTCCTCCGAGCCGTCAAATGGCTGAAAAGAGAGCGTTGGCATTCGAGAGACGCCTGGACAGGGACAAGCTCTCTGGAGACAACCCCAACGGGTTGGCAGATCTGACAGAGGCGAAACTGCAGAAGATGCTGCGTAACGGTCACTTCCGTAAACTGACTGTGGAGGAGGCGTTACGAGAGCCAGACAACACCTGGGCCCAATCTTATAAACGCCGTGAAATGGATATGGCAGCACTCTAAGGCTGAATATATAGTACGCAATCTTATAAAACTCTGTAAAATCGAAAACACGGCACGCTCCCTACAGCATTGGTAGCCGCCGGTTTTGAGGATGCCCTAGCATGCTTTTAACCGTGAGCAGCTGTGCACATCTCAAAACACCGACAATCATCAGCTGTTTGCGGTTTCAGCGGCGTCCATTTCACGCCAGAATTTGTGGCGTACTTTGACGAGCTTCTCAGACAGTTTAATTCATTTAAGATAAATTCAATGATTTTTTTTTTGTCAAAAAATTGTTCATTCCTACTCACTATTCGTATCTCCTCACTTTCTGTCTGGCACAGTTAAGGATCAATGTGTTGTTTCTCTTCCTGCATCTCGATCTGACTTCTGAGCCGAGTATTTTTCTTGATATGCTTTGATATGTAGACTGGGTTCTTCAAGCTTTTGAGGAATTGCTTTTTAGCTTAAGGTTAGGTAACAGGTGGTACCTATGCTTGAATAAGAAGGAAAATAAGCTGTAACTTGGCCTAATTCAGTTCATGTACGTAGTCTTCGAATTTTAGTAGTTTATCTTCAAGAAGGAAAATGTCAAGAGCTTATGACAAGAAGGAAAATAAGCTATAGGTAGGTATCTTGAATTGATCCAGTTAATGTACGTATCCTGATGCTCAAATTGTAGGAGCTTCATTGTCAACGGCATTACTTGAATTACTGAAACAGTAGCCGAGCTATAGTTAAATGACTATTTAAATAATTCTTTAACAAATTTATTGCAATGCCTTAACAGCAAATAAATGCAAATGATAAGTAGAAGAAACACTTCATTCACTCGAATTTCTGAGCGCGAGAATGCCCTCGCTGAAATTTATTTGGTCGGCAATCCACTTTTCAGGAGAATTCTTCAAGCATGTTTGTGTTTTCCATAGTTTGCTATCACGTTTTCCATAAATAACTTATTCATTACACATATGTGTGTCTCTAAAAGAAATAAATGCCCCATAAAAATTAAAACACACGACTTTTGCTGTTCGCAAACAGTACGCATAATTTCCAATAGCGACGGCGACAAGACATTGACCAATCACGTTGCGTGTTTCCTGCTGGCGTTGATTTGTACTGTGGGCAAAATGGCGTGAATAGAATTACCATACTATTCTCTTTATAAGATTGCGTGAATAGGGTGCCGTAAATAGAGTGGGGTGGAATGATAGTACGCCATTTGGTAGCACAACCTTTATAAGATTGGGCCCTGGTACTTACCTCTCATGGCCGTTAGGAACCAGAACAAGCCGAAAAAAGTG